TAGACTTTCTGAAATGCTTGACCATGGCTATTGTTTTTTTTTTTTAATCTGTAGATGATTAAGAAGATAATAATTCCCCACTGTTGAGCTAGTTGGGGTTCATTTTCTTGCAACTAAAAGATGTCTGACAAGAATATCTAATATTTAACCTTTAACCGTCTAGAATACAAAAAATCTTTTTCATTTATGGGACATCCTCATATTACATATCATCACTCATAATAATGGGAAGACTAAGTTTCTCTGACATTGTTTACATTTTTAGAGTTATAATTACTTCAACACTGCCTGGATGTTTACTTGTTGGCTAAATAATCCTTTATCATTACTCTAGCCTCCTGCCACTGTCTGGCTGATATAGTTTCAAGGAAGTTTAATAAAGTAAACTAACTTTCTTTCCCTCTGTCTACTAGTTATTGAACGCAGAGGCCCTATACCACTGAGTTACACCTCCAGCCATCTTTATTTTTTGAGACAGGGTCTTAATACATTGCATAGGCTGGCCTTGGCCTTCCTCAGTCTCCCAAGTAGCTGGGATTACAGTGCCCGCCCCTCACATGCCTGGTGGTAAACTTTCTTTAAAAAGATACATTAGCTGCTATGCAAAGGGGAAACAGCACTGACAAAAAACACAGAGGTTCCTAGATTATTTGCATCATTGCTTCTTTCTAGTTCTAGGGTTTACTGAAAGTTGGCCATGCATATTCAAATCTAGTTATCATTCCTCTCTAGAATAAGGCAGTGGATTAACAACAGTGGGCTCCACAGTCAAACTGCCCTCAATACCAAGAAGACTAGATGTTTTTTGGCATTTCCAGAGGCATAATTCCAGGGCGGGTAGAAAGAGTTCCTGTTAGGGAGGCCACACAGTTATGGATAAATTCCAGTTCTGCCACCTTCAGGATATATGTGAGCTTAGTAGAATAATTTCAATTAAAAAATTTATTGGCATGTCTAGTGCATGCTAAACACTGTGCTATGCGCAGCATGGATGAATTTACTAATTTGACAAACATTTATTGAGCACAAATATTAACCTGGAACTATCCTAAGGGATGGAATTATTCCTATGAATAAGATGCTAGTCTTGCTCTCGAGAAATAGCACTTCAACCTCTTCATTTGGCCTCTCTTAAATGAGAGATATAAATTATAAATATTTTGAAAGATCACATCTAACTCTAAACATTTGTGTTTCTCAAAATTATCCCCTATACTTCTGTACTTCTTTTGAAGGGGGAGGAGTTCTTTTATTTAGTACAAGCAGACATACAATAGGGATTTAAATAAATCCTCTATTCTCTTTTCTTACCCAATATCTTTATTATTTATTTATTATGTGGTGCTGAGGACCAAACCCAGCACCTTGCACGTTCTAGGTGAGCTATCTACCCCTGAGACACAACCCCAGCCTCAAATCCCCTATTTTCAACATACATTGTAAACAGCATTTACTGAGTTTGGTAGTATAATGCTTTTTCCTAAATCTTTGTTAGGGCTCAATTTCTCTCTATGGGATTTTATGGAAGCATGATCTTTATTCAGGATAGCATGAGGTCAGGAGCAGAACCTTCAAACCATGAATTCTGATCATCTGCCCTATATGACACTAACTCTGCCAGGTTCCTGAGGAAGAGACTCACCAAGGATACTCCAGGACAAGGAAAACTATAGCTGTGTCTTGACCCAAATCTCTAATGAATCCTCTATACCAGTGAGCCATCTATCACTTCCAGGGTCTCCTTTGGCCTGCTCTAGGGCCCCTTCCCCTGGACACTGTTTTAGTCAGCTTTCTTGCCTCTGTGACCAAAAGAACAGACAAGAACAAGTCTAGAGAAGGAAGAGAGTTCATTTGGGGACTATGTTTTCAGAGGTCTCAATCCATACATGGTTGACTCTGTTGCTCTGGACATGAAGTGAGATATAATATCATGATGGAAAGGTGTGGAGGAGGAAAGCAGCTCAGGACATAGTAGTTAGGAAGCAGAGAATGCTCTGCTTAAGCCATACACACATCTGCCCAAACTACATAAATTTGACTTTTTTTTTTGTCTAAAACCTCCAACATCAGACATCCTGGTATGTTGGTCTAACCCTATATGGGATTTCTGGCATTTTTGCATTAGTTTGTTTGAACTAGATATAAGGTTACAGGGAGCAAGAGCCTTATTCAAGCAGTTTCTATGGTATAGGAGATTCCTCTTGGTATTATTGTGAGGATGAAAGAAAACGACATAGTTCAAAAACAGGAAAAATAAAGTCCCAAAACTATATATATTTGGCACATATTTACATGGGACATACAAAAGATACAAAAGAATATAGAGGACAAAGTCTCCTTTCCCATCCTATGTCTTAGCCACTCAATGTCTCTCTTTGAAAACAACCAGTATATATGCTTCAAGACACATTCTATGGATATATAGATAAATAAACACACCACATATTCCCTCCTCTTTAGCATTTTCTTTCTTGGAAAGCCTGATAGGAATTTTGTAATTTCTTAGTGTTAAATAGTCTTGCTCAGCACCATGCCCAATTAGATGCCTACTCAATGCATCCTCATCAAGATGCTGAGGACATCACCCAAGTGTGGTCTGATGGCACTAGTAAGGTTTCCAAGCTTTGAGTTACTTGTTATTTTTATTTTTCTTAAAAGTGGAGGTTTTTCAAAGTTCTAATGTCCTGATATGTGGATGCTAACATACTAAGAGGTGGGGTAATCGAAATTCATTGGATTAGACAAAGGGGGATGAAGGGAAGAAGGGAGGGGGGAATGGGAATAGGAAAGGAAGTAGTATGAACCGGACAGAACTTTCCTGTGTTTATATATGAATACATGACCAGCAAAACTCTACATCACATGCAATCACAAGAATGGGATCCTAGTTAGAATAAATTATACTCCATGTATGTATAAAATGTCGAAATACACTCTATTGTCATATAGATCTAAAAAGAATTAAAAAAAGAAGAAAAAGTGGAGGTTTTCTTACTTTGACCTACAATGTGTATTTTACATTATCTAATGGTCCTAGTCCCATAATAGGCAACATGGGGGAGGAGACAGTATTACAGCTTGTCAAGATAAAAGGACCACTTTTTACATACAGAATAGAATTTGTGTTTCTAAACATAGGTCCCCTCCTGTTGTCTATTGTTTGTAAAAAGTTTATGATCCTCCAATGGCAAGAGTTTTCTATAAACCATTATTATTATTTGTATTCTACTGGTCTGTTATGGAGCTGTAGATATAAACATTCCTTAAGTTGTTTTTTGTTGTTTTGTTCCTTTGTTTGGGGGGGGGGACACAAGTGAACCCAGGAATACTCTACCACTAAGCTACATCCTCAGCCCTTTTAAAACATTTTGGATTGTCCAGACTAGCCTCAAAATTTTAGTCTTTCTTCTATTTTGCCTTGGCTATTTCACATATTTTCATGATTTCAGCTATCATCCCTGGGCAGATGACTCCCAAACCTCTCTTGTGAGGTCCCAGACTTGGATCTGCTAGACATCACATTCTGCCTTTCAAATTCATCAAAAGCAGCATGTCTTGCTGGGCATAATGGCGGCGGCACATGCCTATAATCCCAGAGACTCCAGAGGCTAAGGCAAAAGGATCCCAAGTTCAAAACCAGCCTTGGCAATTAAGCAAGGCCCTCAGCAATTTAGCGAGAAATAAAAAATAAAAAGGACTGGGGATGGTTCAGTGATTGAGAGAGCCCCTGGTTTCAATTCCTGGTACACACACACACACAAAACAAACAAACAAACAAACAAACAAAAACAGCACTCATCTTTTCCAAAATCTATTCTTTTGTGTTCATTCAGTACTCTATCATTAGTCAAGAAACCAAGCTGATAAGCCCTCATGTCTTTTTCTTTCTCCTTTTCCTTGTTTCTATCCCCACTCTACCCATTAGTTGCTCACTTCTATCTTTCTGTGTCTGAACTGTACTGCATTCTGCCATCCCCCAAATACTCCTTTCCACCACCATTTCTTTAACACAAATCTATTGAAGGTCCCCTTTGGTGCTCTGTTTCCTAAACGTATAAAAAAGCCCTGTCCATATCTGGACATCTTTGAACTTAAAAAATTTTTAAATATTTATTTTTTAGGTGTAGATGGACACAACACAATGCCTTTATTTTTATGTGGTGCTGAGGATCGAACCCGGGTCCCACCCGTGTAAGGGAGCGCTCTACCGCTGAGCCACAATCCCAGCCCCTGAACTTAAAATTAAGCAGGGAAACTTGGAAAAGTTACATTGACTGAATGGAAGATCAAAGAAGTATTTAAAACAGAGATACCAAAGTGAAATGAAAGTAATTTGGGGCCCTTTCTGTGATCAATGGGTTCTTTGTTGAAGTGCATCTCAGTTTGGTGTACATTCAAGGGTTTTCCAAGATATTGGAAATGTATTTCCAACATATTTCCTTTATATCTCCTTGGTCCAATGAAGTTTGGAGAGTGTGAATGACAAGTGTAAATGAAGTTGTATGGATGGTTATTTAATTATTATGTAGTTCCATGTCTGGATGGTTATTCAATTATTATGTAGTTCCATGTCTGAAGTTCAAAAGTTCTGAATAAATGGCATGCAAAAAGACACGTATGTAAAAAAAGTATACCATAAAAAAAATATGGCCCAGGAAATGTGTGGCAGGACTGGAGAGGTCAATTATTACAAGAAGTATGTGTCTAGATTTGGGAAAGCCTGCTGAGAATTATAGACTAAACCTGAATAAGATAACTGAGATGATTATATGACTAGGAGAAAATAGAGAATTGGGCTAACAAAGGAAAATGCAACACAGAATACTAATTACACTAAGAAATTGTACATGTTCACTAGTGGGAAATTGCATAAAGTTTTGTAAATCTAGCACTAGGAAGGGAGGAGCTTAGAGAGAACAGTGTGCAGTAGAGGCAAAGATGCTCCCCTGTGAGATGAAATGGTTTTAAAGAGAGTCAAGAAACAAAGACAATTTTGGCACTCTCTACTTAAAATTAATTTAATAAAGTTTAAAGTCTTGTTGATATAGTTGGCCATTGTGACAGAAATGAAGCTATCAATCCCAAGTGAATTCTGAATCCATAGCACACGGGGATGTTCAGGTTGTTTAGAAATTTCTTTGCCACTAGGCTCAGAGATAATCATTACCAAATTAGGCTTTCCCCACTCAATATATACTGTATATATGCTAGCAGATTTATCTTAGTTCTGGCCTTGTTGCTCCTTCACTAAGGAAATTTGTTTTAGGGCTAGGGTTGTGGCTCAGAGGTAGAGCACTTACCTAGCATATCTGAGACACTGGGTTCGATCCTCAGCACCATATAAAAATAAAGATGTATATAAGTAAATTTAAAAATTTTTGTTTTCCCATGGAGTCAAGAGTAAAATTTCAATGCAACATGCAGTCCAGCTTTTAAAGAAGTACCATAAACATATAAGAAAACTGATTTTGGAGCAAAAGACCTGGGTCCAAGTACTGGTTCTGACAACTATCTACGGTAATTTGAGGTCTATGGTCAAATTATTTTAATTCTGAGAGCTAGTTTCCCCATCTGTAAAATGTAGATTATACTCAATTTCACCCCATTGTGAAAAAAAATAATATAACATATGTCTGGTACATAGTATCTCATTTTATAGTTTTCCACTTCCCTTATTGACTCAGCTTCAACCTACTTTCTAAGATTATTTTTGTCAGTATTTCTCTTCATGCATTATTCGTTCCAACCAAATAGGGCAGTTTCCTGGAATCCTTCCAGATTCTTCAGCGATCTTCACTTAAGTTTATTCATCCAAAACATATTCATCAAAGGTCTGCTGCGTCCCAGGAAGATCCTAGAGAAAACATGTTTTCCTTCTAGACTATCACCCTTCTCCATGGACTGCTCTTTTCCTCTATGTATCAAAATTCTGACTTCAAAAATTAACATAAATCCTTCCTCATTCATTCAACAATGACTTGCTACAGACTATGTGCAGAGTCCTGGCTTAGGAAGTAAGGATACTCATTCATATGAGATCTACAGGGGATAAAAACAAATAAAGAAGGCTAAAATAAGGGGTGCTATGTAAAAGCCCCAGTGTAGGGAATGCTTTGAAAAACTTCTTGCATCACAGCACATATGGAAAGAGTTCTTCACTAGCTGCCCCATCCCCAGTTGAGGGGATCACTGTCCAGCCATTTATACTCCACTCACAGCATCCTTGTTGGGCTGGTCTAGATTGAGACCTAAAGAATAAGTAGATGATAAAAAGAAGAGATAGTTAGGCCCCTCAGTCATTCATTTAACAAGTTACTTATTGAACTTATACTGTGTGCCAGATACTGTGCCAGGGGCTAGGAGTATAACAGGGAACCAAGAATCTGTTCTTAAAGAGCATTTCCTCAAATGGAACAGACAAATGGACACACACTTACAATAGTATGGGATCAGTGCTCTGAAGAAGATAAGCTCAGAGAGTCATGGGATCCCAGAGGGGGAACTTACCCAGGTTTGAGAAGTCAGTGATTTTCAGGGTGGTAAAATTTAAGTTTAGATGTTTGATTAGGTGGTAGATGTGGGAAGTGAGAGAGGTATTTCAAGAAGGGAATAGAGGGCTTGGAAGTAAGGAAATTATGGGACATAGTCTTTTCCTATTCCAAAAACACTATATTCAATATACCATCTTCTTTTAGACCTCTGTGCCTTGCCCATGCTCCCCTTCCCTGCCTGGCTAACTCATACTTTAGGAGCCAGTCCAAAGGTCACCTTCTTTGTAAAAGACTTCCCCAGACAAAATTAGTCATTTTGCTCTCTGCTTCTGCAGTGATGACTCTTAATTTGTGAGCCAAATAACATTGTCTGACACTAAATTTTTTTCTGATATCTATAGTGACTTTATTAGAAGCTATAGTTATAAAAATGAAATCATGTTTTTATTAATTTAACAAGCTGCCTTTAATAAAAGGGAAAATTACAGAATCAACCAAACATTATATATTATTAGTATCATTATTTTGATTATTAATCTACTGAAAAAACTGATGGCTGTGTATAGTGGCACACACCTGTAGTTGTAGCGAGTCTGAGGCAAGAGGATTACAAGTTGGAGGCCAGTCTCAGCATTTAGGGAGACCATGTCTCAAATAAATAGTTGGAAATACTGAATAAATAGTAATTTAAATAATTTATATTGCTAAGAACTACTTACTCATTTAAATTTCCTTTCCTTTTTTTTTTTTGGTATTGGGGCTTGAACCCAGGGGTACTTAACCACTGAGCCACATCCATCCACATCTTTTTTTGAATTTACTTAGAGACAGGGTCTCACTGAGTTGCTTTGAACTAGAGATTCTCCTGCTTCAGCCTCCCAAATTACTGAGATTACAAGTATATGCCACTGCACATGGCTAAATTTTCACTATTTTATGCTAGGCTCTGAACATTTATTTAGGTTATAACTGTTTAGAAACATAGTTATTTATTAACTTTCTAATTGTATATTGGTGAGATAGAATGATTGAAATTTTTGAAATATTGTCTCAAAAATATGTAAGTACTTTCACTAGTAATTTTATAATTTCTTCATCAAGTCCAGCTCTTTAATCTTGTGACTGATTCCTCTCCCCTGGTATGGGATGAATATCACAGAAGAGGGTGCTCTGGCGCACACTCAGTCCTGAAACCTCTTGCTTTCACCTTTGAATCTGTTGTGAACCCTCCTCAATTTTGGATCCTAAAACCTGATTTGGCTCTTCTGACAATGACTCTGGGATTCTCTAGGTTGTTACTCTGGATATTGACTGATGGAGTACCCATTTATTAGTACTGATGAAAATTTAGATTTATGCAGTGAAGAAATTAGCATTAAGAATGCAAGTGTTAGAACAGTGCATTTCTGTAATCCTAGAGACTTGGGAGGCTGTGGCAGAAAGATCACAAGTTCAACATCAACCTGAGCAGCTTAGCAAGACCTTGTCTAAAAATAAAAATAAAAAGGGCTGGAAATGCAGCTCAGAGATGATATATCCCTGGGTTTGATCCCCAATACCTCAAAGTCAGTTATTTAAAAAATTTAAAAGTGGGGCTAGGGATGTGGCTCAAGCGGTAGCTCGCGCCTGGCATGCGTGCGGCCGGGGTTCGATTCTCAGCACCACATACAAACAAAGATGTTGTGTCCCCCGATAACTAAAAAATAAATATTAAAATTCTCTCTCTCCCTCTCTCACTAAAAATAAATAAAAAAATTAAAAAAAATAAAAAATTTAAAAGTACTTACTAGCCAAGTGATGGCAAACCATAGCATGGTTTTTATTTCCTTTTGCAGTGAGGATTCAACTTGCTGTATGTTAGAACTTTTAATATTGCCCCACAAATTCCTAAGGTACTGTTCATTTTCAGGGCCTGGATGGAATTTGTTTCAAGTTTTGGAACCCAAAGATTGTAGAGACAATTTTGTGTGTGACTTGGCAGCACTCAACTATGCTGTAATAATATAGTGATGAACAAGGAAAATTGGAGTCTGACTTAATAACTATCTGTAGAATTCTGACTGACCACTCCTCAAGCCACTTTTCTGGATTACCTATTTCCTGGACCTACAGCTTTCTTCCTTCCCCACTGCTGTAGTTCAGGCTCTCATTAGTCTCTACCTCCTATAAAAAGGGCCTCCTAACTGTTTTTTGTTTTGTTTTGTTTTTTTTATCTATCCAAGTATTGAGCCTATAATTTCTAAAACACAGATCTTTGGGATGACTTTCAACGGTCCACAGAATTAAGTTCTGGTTCTTGGGCTTTCTAAGTCAGCCCCAGCAGGAAGAAGCCTCTGTCATTACTTCTGGGCATTCTCCTTTCTGCTTTAGGTCCCAGCAGTACCTCCGCTGCTTGCAGTAAATACCCACCAGGGTAGGTAGAATTTTGTCTGGAGGGAGGGGATTTGAGGGCAGTCAACTAGGAGATTCATAATTATCGGTGAAGGGAAGAGCACCACGTGCAGACAGGCAATGGATGCCTCAAGTTTGCTTTAAAAGTACACCTTTTTTTTTTCTTTCGGGTCATAAGTAGATCACATTGTTGTGACCTTATGATCCCTTCTCTAGCAGAACACTCCAGACCACCGAATTCCAGCTTCTTCTAGCCACCCAGCATTTTACAGAACGGTCTTGTGGCTTTAATCTTCGGTTACCTTGGCCTGGAACGCCCCTGAGGCCGGGCGAGCGCTGACTCCCGGTCCAGTTCGCGCCCTAGCGGGGCCTTTTCCCTTCAGCCCCCTACGTAGGTCCTGCGCTTCCGCAATGGAGCGCGCTTGGTAATTCTAGTATAGAGTCGCGGCCTCGGTGGTGATCGGCCACTCTCTGCTTCCCCAGGCCGTGAGTCGTCAGCCCCGGGGAGCCGTGGCCGATGTCGCGCACCACGGGTCGCAAGCAGTTGGAGCTCCACATCCAGGCCTCGAGACTGTCCAGCCCCGGTCGCCGAGAATGAGACGTCTGGGTCACGTGACACGCCGATTGTCACGCGGGCGCCGCTCACCTGACCAGGCTCTCACGTGGCTCAGCCCGCTGTAGGGAGAGGTCACCGGCGAGCCATGGCAGGCCCCAGGCTTTGGTTTCCGCTGCTGCTGGCGGCAGCGTTCGCGACCTGGGCAACGGCCCTATGGCCCTGGCCCCAGTACATCCAAACCTCCCACCGGTACTACAACCTTTCGCCCTACAAATTCCAATTTCGGTACCACTCCAGGTCCGCCGCGCAGCCGGGCTGCTCTGTTCTCGATGAGGCCTTCCTACGCTACCGCAAAGTGCTCTTCGGTTCGGGTCCTTGGCCCAGTCCTAACTTATCAGGTGAGTCACACCTGCCCGATCTTGTTACCCCGCCCTGAAAGAGCTGCCTTGGGACAGCCCCCTCAAATCTCTGCAGACACCCACCTTTTGTTTTTGCCCAACACTTTTATCACACACTCCATTTCCTCTTGCCCTTCTCCTACTGCTTGCTGTCCTCTCAGGCACTCCCAGGTTTAGTCCATTCACCCCTTCACTCAGCTGACTTCTAGGGCCTGGCTCGTCTGTAATCCTTCCTTTGGCTATATTAGGTATTCATCCCAGAAATGTCTACTGTAGAACTGTAGTTCAACGAAGATATCAAATTGTGGAAAATTGTGCCAGTAGACATCTAAGATGAGCATTCTGATCATATTCAAGGGAGGCTGGGGCTCCATGAATCGACCAGTGCTAGGTAGAAGAGACCAGAGAAGACCCTCAAAATTGGTGAGACAAGATTCAAAAACTTATGCCAAAGTACATTAAAATGTCTGGCACATAGTACGTCCAGTAAATGTTTAAATTGTGAGAGAAATCAAAGAATACTTTCACAAGGAAGTGAGTTTCCAGGAGCCATTTAAAATGAGGTGGTAGGTATAATTAGCTGGGATTGAGAGGAGGGTATTCCAGGCCAGAAGAACCTTGAGCAAAGGGTTATGACTGAGCACAAAGTTCTAACCTGGTGAATGTGATGGGCTGGGGCCTGGAGAATGGGTAAGGATGGGATTGGGAAAGTATTCACACAGATAGATCTACCAGATACTTAGGACATCATTGTTCCTGAACAGAATAATCCCATCCCTTCTCTCAGTCCTTTTGTTCTAAAATGGAAGATTATCATGAGTATCTGTATCCTTCTGAAGGCATTCTTAGTATTTGCATTGCTCATCCTTAGATATTAAATAAGTGACTAAGTTAAGTGGCATTTAATCAATCTCCTAAAATACCTCTTTTGGTCATTCCATAACTATGGCTGCAACTGGCAGATATTTTGTAATTTTTTAAATTGGCTATATTAACATAAACGGCTACTTTGTGTAAAAGTTGTTAAGAAGGCATTGATATTTTTGTTTATTTCTAAGATCATCAAAAAGAAGATGATTTGGGCTGGGGATGTTGCTCAGTGGTAGAGTGCTTACATAGCATACACAAGGCCCCAGATTCAATCCCCAGCACTGGAAAAAAAAAAAAAATGACTTGCTGGTTTTATTTAGTATTGCCTTTCAAGTTTCAAATTAGAGCATTAGCATGTGATTCCAGAAAAAGGAGAATCATATGACTCCAACTCATAACCTAAACTCATGTTGCTCTTAGCTCATTATAGAATTATGGATACATTGAGATAACCTCTGGGTGATGCAGGAGAGAAACAGATAAGTTCAGGTAGCTAGGCCGGGGAGAAAAAAGAATGTGGTTAGTGTGCTTCACTCTAATTGGGCTAGTAATTAAGTACTTTGTAAGTATCCCCTGGCAAAGATACTTCCTGTATAATGCCAAGTTGCCAGCAAGTTTATTATTTTAAAAGCAAAGAGGAAGAAAGTATGTAGTAGAATTATTTTTCTTATGAAAGGTCATGTGGAAAATGGAAGGAGACATAGGGAGGAGTCATGAATAGATTGTCTTTGGAAAGGTGGTAAGTAGCAGGAGCACAGTTTTTAGCTGAGGAGCAAAATAATTGTATTTAATTTTGTATTCCAGGGCCTGGATTTAGTTAATAGGAGTCCTCAATTAACCTCTTTACAAGCTGCCCTGTTTTTGCCTTTATTACCTAAATCATAACACTTTTCCAATAAACCTGGATAATTGGAAGTTACGCCCAAGCAGCTCAACTTTCAAGGCATGTATGTGTGTGAATAGGCGAGGTAGTTTGAGCCTTGTATATATAAAAAAAAAAAATCTGAGTCTTATTTCCTTAAGCTCTCCTTCTGGCTTGGATATTCTGGAGGATCCAAGGTCTGAAATATGGCTTATTTAGGAGGCACCCAGAGAAGGTTATTTTATTATTTGTTTATGTGCCCTCAGGCACATTGCCTAATTTCCAGGCTTTTGGGTTGCTACTACTTTTTTTCCATATTTTTTTTTATTGGTGCATTATAGTTGTACACAGTGATAGGATTCATTGTTACATATTCATGGAGGCACACTTGTAACAATGTAATTTGGCTAATATCATTCCCCAGTTCCTCCTAAAATCTGCTTATATTCCAGGCATAAGAAAATAGTTATGAATGTTTTGCAGTCTTTGAAAGACTTTACAATAGAGGGAAGAACTGTTGATTTTAAAAGTAAAACGGGGCCAGGGGTATAGCTCGGTGGCTGAGCACTTGCCTAGCATTTGTGAGACTCTAGGATTGTTCTCTATATCACAAAAAATAAAAATAAGTAAAAAACTAAAAATAGCCTGAACCCCTGTGATACCCTTTTGTCCATTTCCTTCCACCCTCTTCCTCACTTCCAAATAGAAGAGTGAAGTAGGGCATGGGGGGGAATTTTGTCAGTTGATGTCTTGTTGGGTTAGTTTTTAACAGCAGGTGTGGACATTTGAGCTGTACAGCCTCATGCTAGGACATGTTGTCAATTTCTTAGCGTGTTAAAGGCATAAACATCAATCCCCTTCATCCTCAAGAAAAGGTCTACTCTGAAAAAAAAAAAAAGAGGTCTAACAAATGAATTAAGAACTGTCCGGGAGGGGAGGGCTGGGTTTGTGGCTCAGCAGTAGAGCGCTCTCCTGGCACATTTGAGACCCTGGGTTCCATCCTCAGCACCACATAAAAATAAATAAACAAAATAAAGGTATTGTGTCCAACTACAACAAATAAATAAATAAATAAATAAATAAATAAATATAAAGACTTTTCTCCCTTTTTTGTTGGGCCACTGACAACAAAAGCAGCTAAAGAGAAAAGCAGAGGTGTGAGAGGTGTATGTGTGAAGAGTTTTCTGTACCTCAAGGTTTATGGGTCTTTAGTCCATAGAAATAAATTTATAGAAATAAGAGAATTAGATTTGATTTTATTCTCTTCCTAGGTGCAGTGCTTCTATCGTAAGCTGAGGCAGTGCTTAAATTTCAACAGTCAATTGAGTTCCTGTGGAAGTGTGTGCTCAGATGCAGGAAGTGGGGCTGCTTGTAAGCTCAACTGTCAGAGAGCAACCTCCTTCTTTCGTAAAGTTTTTGGGGTTGTGGGTGAGAAGGATACTTATAGGTGAAAAGTATAACTACTGTACTATTAAATCTGGTGGTAACTGGTAATAGGGTGCCACAGTAGTGGCTTTCTTCTTTTGACTGGAGCTTCAGTCCTAGATTGGGGTGGATTGAAGAGTTCAAGCCTATGTTCTTCGTTTCTTTTTTGTTTTTTATTGTTTTGAATACTTTTTAGTTGAAGATGGACACAATATCTTTATTTATTTTGAGGATTGAACGCAGTGCCTCTTGTGTGCGAGGCAAGCGCTTTACCACTGAACCACAACCCCAGCCCCACCATATTCTTTTATATGTTGGAATGTCACTTATTGATCATAGAGGATAACCAAACACATGCCAGTGGAGTCTTCAGTCTCCTGTAAGACATTCATGAAAAACTCTTCCGAGAAGCTGCTCCTTTGATGCTGTTAGACCCCAAGGTAACCTGCCCTGGGCTACTCCAGCCAAATGATACACAATAGAGGTTTGCTCTGGAAAAACTTACTTATTGGAAAAAAAGGAAGTAGAAAATGGAAGGGAACTAGCATTTATTGAATGTCTGGCACTCAATGTTTATTATGCCCTTTAATTGTCATAATATCTTCTTGAAGTCAGTGTTATATCCCCATCTGTCAGAACAGGGCATCTCACAAAGTGACATGCCCAAGGTTATACAGCTAGTAGTGTTGGGGCAGAAATTCCAATCAGAACTGTTTGTCCACAAAGATTTTGATCTTGTCACTGTGCAGTCTTGAAGTAAAGTCATAAATATCTTTGACAAGCCAGTTAGCAATTTGGAAAACTACTGGCCTCTGGTAGGGTTAAGCTCTGATCACATCTTAGTGCTAATTGCTTCAAATAATAACCTCTGACATCTAATTGCTTATTAATGCTCAGGTGGTGAGTGTGTTTATTCCTGCCCCATTGTTATCAGATTCCAGGACCATTTCTGACTCCCTTCATTTTATCCCTTCTTAGTATAAATAGCATTTATTAACCAACCATAATTTGTCAATAACAATAGGTCCATATATGCGTGTGTGTGTGTGTGTGTGTGTGTGTATAAAATTTGTGTGGGACTACAAAAAAAATTTTTTTAAAGAATGTAAGATAATTTAGGAGATTCTTGGGGTTTACATCATCATTTGTAGTTTAAGAAAATGAAAATCTACTCTTTAGGTTTTTGGCGTTGTTCAAATTTAAGTCCCTGAAAATATTAATAGAATTACCCTCATCCTTGAAGAATTTATAGTCCCTGAAAGTGGAGATACAGATATATAATAAAGTGTGTGTGTGTGTGTGTGTGTGTGTATGTATGTGTGTGTGTGTGTATGTATGTGTGTGTGTGTGTGTGTGTGTGTTTTGTTCTGTGGTAACTGAAGTGTAGGGTTCTTTGAGGGCGTGGAAGAGGACACTTGACTCAAGGGTGGAAGCATGGGAGGAAGGTGTGTGTGTGTTTTGTTTTTTTTCCCCTAAAAATGCACCTTTAGTATATCACAGTTTCTAGGGTCAAGAACTTGAGAGTTACTTTGGTGGATATTTCTGATTCATGCTCTATTATGAGGTTGCAGTCATCTGAAGGCTTGACTGGTACTTGTGCATCCACCTAGAAGGTGTGTTTTGAATGGCTTTCACAAAGTAAGAGTTCATGTAGACAGACATACTGTTTCCTGTAGACAGAAGACCGTATGAAAGGCCTTCAGGTGAGAATCTTTCCAACATATTTAAGAAACTGAAGGTCAAAGTATAGCTCTAGGGTAAATCAGTGAGTTTTGAAGCTAGATACATAATAGATGAAAGGCCATTAAATAAGAAAAGTAGTGAGATTAAACTCTGGTTGCAT